TTTCCCAGTGTTCCCCTCAAAAAAGCTGACATAGAACTTCAACTACACTCCGGCTCACTAACATGGAAGTGGAAAACCCTGCGTTTCCAATAGTAGTCTTCCAAGGGGCCATTTTCCACTTCCATGTAAGTGAGTCAGAGTGTAACGCCGCAGTCACAAAACGAAGTGTTCTGGCAATTCAGCTTCTACAGCGGAGAGCCGCTGTGTAGAACAGACTTGATTCTTTGTTCGTCCCGTTCGACCAAACCAAAACCATAAATCATACCAAACCAAACCATCCTACCATCCTTGAAGGGCCTATGTAGCCTTATGTAGCCCATGTCTACCTTACTGCCCCCCATCCCAAGACTCAGCAACATTCAGCAACCCAAACTTCAGACTGGAGCCTCAAAAGGTCATGGAAAATTATCCACCCGAAGCAGATCAGTGACTCAGGCATTGATTTACAAGTGCTGTGGCATGGAGGAGATCCGGCACAGTGCCAGGCCCAGGCAGTGGCAGCGAATTGGCCCGAGCAGCTATGCCATGCGATGCCTGATCTTGTAAGTTGTTTGTTGTTGTTGTTGTTGTTGTTGGCAGCTGGCGTTTCCCAAAATTCAAGTTGATTCAAGGGACTCCGAGGTTTACAAGTTAGGGCAACCCTACTACGAAGTTGCCATTTAACTACGGAAAGGGGTCTGCTTGTTTTTCTTACTACGGTGTGTTTGGCTGCATTCCTGGCGGTATCAGCTGTGTTTCTGTTTCCCACACGTTTGGGAGGACACATCGACCGTGCGGGTTCTGGGTTTGACTTGTGCCTTCCACACTCTCACGCGCCAAGAGGGAAGGCAGTCGCAGCCGGCGCAGGTGGTTTCTCCACTGGAGGTCCTTGACACACTTGTGCACCCGATGGCTGGTGGCCAGACAGCATATGAAACCATGGGCGGTGGAAAGGCATGCCAAGGTTGATTTGTAACATACTCTAACTAACCATACAATTATATCCACAATTGTATGTATATATATATATATTGCATTCAAGACAGAACCTGATGGTGGTGGGTTATAGCGCTAGATGGTGGTGGGTTCGTCTTAACCGGTCCAAGAGGATTGAGTGTGTAATTCATGGGCCCATAGACTTGAAGGGCATGAGCGGAGGGACGTGTTTGAAGGGAGCTGCTGAGTGGAGGGTACTTACATCTCATGACGGCACTCGCATTTGTTGATGCCACAAACAAGGGGTCTCCCTATTCAAATCTATTCAACTATACACACTCAAAGGAGGGTTTCAGGGTTCTTGCTCTTGGAACCCAAAAAAGGGTCTTGACCTACTTAGGCGATGTTCGTGATCATCCTCGCCACGGTCTCGCTGGTCTACACCGCAGATACCTGGCATCGTGTAGAGAGGGAATGCACCTGGATTGGGTAGAAGCTCATGACCCGCTTGCTGATTTTTTGTGTTGTTTTGGACATCCACATGTTTCGAGCTTCTTTGGTTAGCTCAGCTTTTTTGAACCCTGCTGAAACACAATTGAAGAACAAATGGCTAGATTACTCCCTGAAGGGAGGAGGACCAAAACAAACGAAGTGGACAGTATGCATGGCATGTTAAGAGGTTTCCTTTGTTGATCCACCTTTGTTCAATGTTAGCAGATCATTTTACTTGCACGCTAAGTGCAATGCTTTAAATGCCTTCCTTGGCTGAAATTGGACCCTGAAATCATGAAGATCATGTTGAACGTGAAGCTCCATGATCCAACATCAAACAATGATGAACGTGACGACCAATCGTTATATTTCATCATACTTCTGAATTGTTGCAGGGAAGCTGAGCATCTCAGAGATGGCACCTGGCCATCCGAGGAGTTGGTTGACTATCGGGGGCTGCTTGGAGAGCAAAGACATCGGGGTTCACATCCTTGGCTGCCCAGCCTTGGCTTCTTCCCACACGGTGCTTCCAGGGCTTTGGTGAAGTCGAAGTCGCTGTTGTATAGATCACCCCAAAGGATTCACCATACACAATCTTCAACGGAATTCCCTAGGCTCTAGGACTTGAATGTTTAAAAACGCGTTAACAAACATTGTAACATCAAGTGATCAAGTAGTTGTTGTTTCTATCATGCCTTGTGTCGGACGAGTGCTACTGCACCTGATGCGACCACTCGATCACCGTGACCGTGCGAAGCGACGTGTTTTCAGTGGTGGCATCAAGCCGGAGATCCGTTGACCGATCAACACGAACAGTTTTTGGGATCGGACAGTTGATGGTGCGTGAACTGCTTTGGTCAGTCTTGACTGTATTTCGTGATCTTTCATAGAAATTGAGAATGGAAGCGCTGGACATAGAAATTGAGCCGGGGAGCACTTCGCTAGTTCAAAGAGCACAGCACGGCCATGTGGAAGAGCGCACAGTTTTAACATAGCCTGTTACCAAGCGGCAATGTTCGGGGAAGATTTAGTAAGTTGAGGATGAGGATGATTTTTGGATTTTGGTGTTGAGGTCCAGAGAAGAAGAGTGCCTCGCCTACTTCAAGGAAGGCGGGAGTGTGCCAGAGCTACATGTCCCCATTTATCACTCATCGACGAGGTTCATGTCCGGAACGCAGAGTGGAGCGTGTAATTGGGAAGATGTTGACTTCGATTTGCCCACTGCTCCGTCCGTAGCGTCCTTTGCTACTAGTAGTAAGGCCAGGAGCCCCGTTCGTAGCGTTTGCCTTGCACGACTTGATGGGAATGACTCGGAATGACCGAAAGAAATTGGACTCACCCGAGTCCGCGGTCGGCAAATGCACGGTCCCGAAACGCGCGGTGCTCCAGGGCCCTTGTGCTCGGACAACCTCATGGGATTTCCAGCACATCTTCCAGGAAGGCTGGAGGACCAGCGGTGGCAATCAAGCGACCATGGCCTGGTGAGGGCTAGCGGCTAGCATCCTCCATCTTCGAGTGTAGAACAGATTTCCCGGATATTGTCCTAGAAGTACGTCCCCTTTTCAAGAAATCTGAATGTCATAGACACTCCCAGGTTCTTCGTTGGACTTGGACACCTCCTCGGTCTCCCACCAGGACGTTTCCATCACCTACCAGGACGCCTCCTTCAGCCTGCACCAGGAGGACGGGACTTAGAAGGGTGGACATGGACAGTGGATGACAGTGGACTTAGTAGTCAAGTTTGGTGCTGTACAAGTCCTCTTAGTCCATCGTTGTCCTCTTCCCATGCGTTTAGACCGTTTGAACCAATGCGCAGACGCGCGTAGACTCCCAACGCACCACCTGGCTGCAGGAACTGGGGCAGTCACAGACGGCGTGGAACATCTCCCAAAGTATCAGCCGTGCTGCAGGCGGTGCATGCTGCAGACACCAGGATGACACCAGGGGGATCATGGGTGTCATCGGTGGAGATGCTCAAGCACGGACGCAAACATCGTCAGTTCCAGTGTTTATATAACGGATTTGACTGCCATGGACACCCATGGAAACAACATGCATGAACATAATATGTATGGTGTGTTTTTCAATGGCAACGTCAAAATATCATAGATTCAACATAAAATTGCTTTCGATGTCAATCTTAAAATCAAGGCTCCCCTTTCACCTGTTCTGAGGAGGGCCAACCACAGAATATCCCCCAAGCGTTTTGGAACAGAACGTCTGGCAGGGGGAAATTGCTTTAAAAGGTTTTGGGGATGTGAATATCTATGCATTTGAAATTTGAGATTAGATTGAATATGGTGACTTTTAAGACCATGAAATTCACAACCACATATAATTCCATTTGGCTTTGCGTCTAAGCATGTGACAAGGCCTGAACCAAGCCAAAAGATATAACTCTAGAAGTTTGTGTGTGTGTGGGTGGGCGGGGGTGCATTTTAAATTTACTGATCGTGGGACAAATGGCTAAGCACTACACAAACAATCATCCAGAGCTTGGTTTCATTACCCCTTGGCAATCTTGTAGACCCTCAGCAGCCCTGGAACGCAAGAGAGTGAAGGCCCCATAACCACAAACGGTTTGGTCACCATGTTGAAGGGGACAGGCACCAGTTTCTGAGCTCTTCGTTGGAGCCTCCAATCACCCAAACAGGCCAAGTACCCGGTGTTAGCGTCGCAGCAATCTTCGATGAACACTGGCAGGTTTGCGCCCACTGGACCAGGCAGCAGCGTTCGAGCGGAGACGCGTGACGAACAGACGCGTCCGCGATCCTGAAGGTTGCTTCAGAGATGGCCAGGACGGATGGTTGACCGCGCATGTGGTTTGTTTTGAACGCAGTGAGACACTTTGCAGCGAAGATCCAATGAACACTCTATCTGACAAGTGTAGTAGACTGGATCTAGAGAATGAACAACACATCCTACAGCATCCAAAGCCATCAGATCGTTCCGACCAAGATATATGTCTTACAGGTCGACCGGTCGCTATCTCATCGATCAACCAACATTGGACCGCCGCTAAGCTTCGCTTGGGCCAGTGCATCCTGCGCATTTAGTCCCAGGACGTGGAAAAAGCGCCGCAGTGATTCGAGAGTCGGATCAGGGAGTGGACTTTAGGAGCCTGCCCTCATCCAGGAACTATCGCATCCATTATCACTGGGATTTTGTGGGGTAGGGTGCGAATCAGCACCAACTCAGAACTTTCATGACTTCAAAATCCCTCTTTTTTCGAGCTTCCCTAGCACAGGGTGACCAATCACCTCTTTTCGAACTCTTGGGATGACTCATGGCCCTTCGAGAGCTTCCGTGTGTTCCCTTTGTGGAGCAGAACAGCTCACCATGCTTGACTACATTTGACTACCCACTTTCGGGGCGTCCTTCGACTCTGGCGCCGAACAGGGCAGAGAAGGGCCGAACTTTATCGTCACTTGCAGCAGTGGATTTTTGGGGCTTGGTGATCAGCTTCTGATGATCTAGTTACCCATGCGAGCGGGGTGTTGTGTTCCATCCCCTTGATGCAAGCTTTTCTTGACCATTGTCAACAGAATTGAGTACGACGTACGTGCGCTATGAAGAGACATTGAGGAGTGTTGGGTGTGTCATCATTCAATTAGAACCCCTTCTAGCAAAGCAGTATTTAATTGAATAGTTCTTAGGTTCGTTCATTGTGGCCATGGCTTCCGCAAGAAGCATCATCGCCCTAGCTTAGCTCAGCTAAATCAGCACTCAGCTGCTGAGTGCTGGCACTCAGCTGAGGTGATCTTCCTCTTCTTGACCTTGGCTTTGGCATTGGTCTCACTGAGCTTCAAGTTTTTGGGATGGAGTGGCCTTTGGCGTGCGCCTCGGTCGCGTGATCATGGAGATGTCCATGGTGAGATGTGAGATGACAGCGGCTCATGGAGGAAGCAGGTGTCTAAATGGTTGAAACATGTTTTTGTTCATTCCACTACTGTTACGAAGCCATGTCCATCCATTTCCTATATAGTTTGGTTAAGACATTAAAGCATTCCGTGATGAGCTCAATGTCTACACTCCCATGTTGTATCCACAGCGCCGGATCAGCGGACGAGTTCCCGGACTGTTTCGTGATGAACGAAGAATGACTCGAACAACCAGGACGAGTTCGTTGGACGACCGGACGGAGAACTCGGTCGCGACGAAAAGCACGTCTTCGCATTTCGGAAAGACATTAAATTGTTGACTTTTTATACCGAGATTCGTTACAAAGCAAGCAGATTTACAGTTCCGACCGGAGTTCACGACCGCATTCTCCCAGATTGAGACTTGTTTGATACGCCTCCAAAACTATGCAAAGCTATCTTCCGAAACCAGCGCTCAGTATATCAACGGGATTTCAGGGTCCGGCTATTTCAGGGTCGACCAGCGTTGCACCACTGTTTTTTGGGCCCGAATGCTCGTGGGCTTGTCACTCACACGTTGCTGCAGGTCTTTCTCTTCATCCTGCTGCCCTTGTGGTTCATTTGGCCAGCCTCTTTCCTGCTGCAGTGGCGTGTCTTCGGGCCTATCACCAGACAGGTGCGAACAACACGCGGGACTTGACGTGGGCACGGTGAAGTCAACCAATTCGTTTCACGCTGGAAATGCCCAAAAATCGTGCTGCTACATGAGCCAGATGTGCTTCACCCTATGTTTATTACAAGAGCTCTTGACAACATCATTTGGGCTGAAGAAATTGGCCAGCGTCATGTCCACTCGAAGAAGCTTTGCTTTTAGCATCTTCAGATGGTGAACTTGAATCCGGCATCAGCACCATGGGAAATCCACGCGACAGGCATTTGTTCGCCTTCACTGTCGATCTTTCTAAAGGATTAGGAACCTCCCAGAAGGGCCGGAGTGAGATTGGTCCAATGGATGAAGGCAACATGCTGACTCCAAGTCTGGTGACGGAGCCAGCAGTTTTTGTTTTAGGGTCCATTTGAGATCCATCCAGTGAATGTACAATGGGTAATCGTTAACCCTTTTTGTCAATGGCGTTGCAGAAAGCAATGAAGAAATAGAGCCAATCACATGTGGTGTGCTTTGCAAATCGTGTTTTGTTCTTCGTTTGAGTTCCCTTGGAACTTTTGGTGTTTTGTTCGCCAACATCCTGCAAGGCACTTTTCACGCCCTTCTTTGACACGCAGATCATGGGGCGCTACACAGACGATGCTTGGCAGACGAGGGGGGGAATGGTGGAGAGGTAGTAAAGAAGCCATTTAGAACTAGGTGTTGCAGTCTTTTTAGATGCCACTACATCCATCATTGATGACGTCACTACACCCATTTTATTGATATCAACGTTTATTCATTCTGAATTCTGGTTGTTGAACCAACTACTTAGATTGATGCAGATGCATTTTTCAAGAAGTGCCATTGTCGGATTGTAGTCAATAGGATTCCTGAATATAAGGACGGAGCTCAAAGATTGCCATCACTTGTGGCGTCAGATGGTCTCTTGGAGCAGGGGAGTGTGTTGCAACACGTCTCCAAGATTCAAGAAGAACCACCCAAAACCACCAGAAGAATCAGGAAGAGATTGCAAGTCAGGAACCCTCAAGCCTGGGCGTCAGCTAAGGAAGCCTGGTACTGCTTCACCACAACTTCTCTTTTGTTGGCCATCGCAGCCTGGTGAAGTCGTCGGGGGTGGTGAAGTTGTCTGTCGGTGGTATTGGATCATCCCCAAAGTGCTTCGGATGACACGCCATCCAAAACACGGGGTTGTCGTGTTCGACCATTTTGAAACGCACTTACAGAAAGTGCAAACATGTGCAAGCGCATGATTCGCTTCAAGGAAGAACTGTTGACCAACAGGTTCTTTTGTTCTTTGTCGTTTACATGTCGTAGGTGTTCTTTGTTCAAGACCACATCTAAGCACAACTTGTTGCTTCATGTACTGACGTTGATATCTTGCAGATTTGCCTCGCAACACATGCTGTTCGTGTCAAACGATTCAACCAAAGATCCAGTTCATATTCAAAGCAGAACAGCAAACAAGTAGACCATTTACATCATGTTACATCCATTTACAGCAGCTTCGGACTAGACAGCGTAAACCCTCTAGGACAGCTTACACGCTAAATGGGAATCCTTCAACACGTGTCGTGCGGTTCGACACATCCTCAAGGGCTCCAAGTAGCTCCTCAGAAGAAACTTAGACCCTCCAAAATGCACCTCAGACACCTTCTCAGGAGTCTCAGGAGGTATTTCGAGCCCACTGGGGTCCTTGGGTTTAGGCAAAAAAAAGCGACATGCAAAGTGAAATAACATATATAAATATAGTACATGAATGTTTGGTTTTCAAAACTGCCTGCCGACCGGACCGTCGGCCATTGTGCTCAGTCCTTGGACGCGGGTGTTCGGTTTCCAGCAAGCGGACTTGCAACATTCCCTCAGCTGTGGCAACTGAAAAACAACAGACACAGACACAGCAATGCAACACATTGGCAACATGATTATATGGATTTTAGTGACAACATGTGAACATCATTGAATTGTATTTAATTCCTACATCAGCCTATATCCATTTTGGGCCAGAATTTCAGGTGACTCATACCTCAAACTCGCATCGATGACCGTTCTATCCAAGGCCTGTTTGCCGGCCTTCAATCTTCTTCACCGCTTCGTCCACTTCTACTTTCGCGTGTGGGAATCTTAAGGTTTGCAGGGAAGTCACACATCGGGAGTCACCTCCAAGACGCCTTAATCCAGAAATGCTTGATACAAAAATAGAGACTGAACAGAACTCATATTCATGTGTTTCAACGCTCCAAAAAAGCCATTCGTCGCCTAGTTTCAAGAAGATGGGCTCGGGGCTCGTGACACATCATAGATCGCCTGACCTACGGCCTTGGTTGGTTTGTTGGTTGGTGGGTTGGTTGAAGAGGGGAGACACCAAGTGGTGCACAAGCAATTCTGGTCTACGGTGCTTGGCAACCATCATTGACCCCTTTTTCTATTCCCTTCGAAGGGTGTCTCCGCTTCGATTGGGATGTTTAAAGATCCCTAAACATCAGCTGCCAACATCAGGGGACACATGTTTAGTGCACTTGTCAGATTTTGGCTGCTTGCACAGGTTGACAGAACATGCGTGTGGTGATTATGTGGTGATTCTGTTGGTTCATTACATACCAACTCATACTTGTTGTTCTTGCCTGATCAAACCCAAAAAAACAATTTTTTGCAGAAGACCGGCGAAAAAAAACACACCTGGAGCCCCAACCAAAGAGTTCCTGGGGCCCTCCCGCGGGTTTGGGACCACAGAGGTCGCTCCAACGCGCCTTCTACCACGATGGCGTGGACGTGTTGATGCCCCAGGTGTCGAAGTGCCCCTGGGTGCCGATCCTCCTTTTTGGCGCCTCGGTGCGCACAGAGGTCGGTGGACGTGGCGGTGGGGAGAGGTCGGTGAGTGACCGGTAAAAGTGAGATGACCAGGTGGGAGAGGATGTGTGGGAAGCTTCGAATTGTTGTGCCTTCTTGAAGCAAGCGATATGTTCCAAGTGAGATATATGATTGGTAGGGTACATTGGCATCAGGAACGGTGCCGATGCATCACAGGCATCAGTCAACTATGCCGCAACGAGCCACACACGGCTCTCGAGCTCAGGAGCGACGCTCAATGAGTTCATGCGGCCCAACAGCAAGGAAGCGCATTCCTTGTTCGCAGCTTGGCAAGGATTAGAAGAGGGTATGGGTCATGTGGGGGATCTAGTTAATGTGATAAAGGACCATGTCACATCATTCTCCCCACATGGGTTTGGTATGGTTTAGTCATGGGTCAATGGGGGAACATGATCATGACTTGGTCTAGTCATTGGGGTCATGTCGTTAAATGTATAAAGGACCTTTTGAATGCGCAACCTTAGAAGAAAGGGACAACAGCACTTCGAGAATGAACAGATTGGTTGCGGCGACGAAATGTGCCAAGTTTTTTTGTTGATCCCTTAAGTTATTCTGGATGGTTCTGGATGTTCACAACCCATCAAGCCAATCGTGCGGATTATTTTGGATCGTAATTGTGCCGGCAAACACACGCTGTTGTGTGGTTTGGAACCCATTGCTGCTGCTTCAATTTGAGAAGACTCATGCACCTGTCATACACACAACAACCCTTGGTTATGTAGTAGATCATTTCTGCAATATTCTGGCAACAGATAAGAAAGGATAGGCCACATATTCTGTTTGCAAAGAAATCAAGGGAGTGATGTTGCTGTCTTTTCTAGAATTTCCAGCTGAGACCTTGTCTCCCTCCTTCCCGCCACCGGCTGAGACCTTGTCTCAGTATGCCATGGGCTGCCAGAGGAGGGTCAGGGACTGAATTGTCCGGACGAACTGGGGAACACAGATCCAAATGGATCTGCCACCAAATATGGTGAGATCATGAGGCGTTGTTGAGCGCAACCAACAGCTCCAACAGTCCAAGATTGGATGCTTCGTTTTCATCCTACCATCCTCAATGAGGGTGCCTCAGCTAGAGATAGAGCCATTTGTTTTAGAAAGGATTTGCAGAGTTCTTTTTTTGGAGTGTCTAAAGAGTCTAGTTGACAATGAGGAAATTGCTTGGGCCATTCTGCCAGAAAGGCAAGAAGGTCATCCTGCATCCTGTCACACCCTTCCAGACTCATGGCCAACATCTCAAATCGTGATTTCAGTCGCGCTTGACCTAAAGCAATGTGAGGAACATCTCACACGGCTTTGTGGCTCTGGACGCCCGTTCCAAGGATGAGCGCACCTCCATCCAGCGACTGCCGTTCGATCCGGCGACTAAGCGAGCACAGGACTGACTTCCTAGCTGCGCCAAAGTGGATGTCTCTGGCACGGTGCATGACCTTGAGCTGTGCAGCCATAGCTTCTCGATTGCCACAGAATGCCACTGGATGTATTCCCCAACAATCCATATGGGACTGGAATACTTGCTTAAGATGACAAAGATCTTAGATATAGGTTTTAAGATGTTTTAAGGGTCCATGCAAGCAAAGATTCCAAATTCCCCTACTTGGATGGTCTGGGATTGGCTCAAAGTCCAGTTGAAGGGGGATGTTATCGGTGCCGGGGTCTCCGCTGCGGACTTACAATGGACTCATCGAAGTGAAAACCACCCTCTCATCTGAACTCAAGGCCATCCACTTCCACGGAAAAAATAATCAGAACAACAGGGAGTGTAAGCAGTTTTGGTAGAACCTTCTTGCCTGCAAACCTGGTGATTGCTCCATTCCTCTTGGCCGTTGGGGAGCTTACAAACTGCATGGCCTTCTTCATGGTCGAACGGCCTCATATTGGATTCAACCGACGGATCTTCTAATTGGATGCTTTGCAGATCGCGTGGTCCCTTTGCGCATGACAGTTGCACACACACACACACACGCACAGGTGTCTCAGTTGTGAAGTGTCCCAGTTGTTGGAACAGAAAGTGCGAGCAAATGAGTTATTGCACCAAGAATTGCATCAAGAATGATATGATATATCAGATTTGAAGATATCAGATTTGCACCAAGAATATGTGGAGCACGGCTGAGCACGCCGTCCTCCACTCATGATCCAAGGATGGCTTTGTGCACCTTGGCAAGACCAGAGTCGAAACAGGGTACAGATGGCGGCCCGGAGGACTCTTTGGGATTTTCCTGAAGATGGCTGCAGCTTCGAATAACCTGGAATCACCTGGTTTCGGGGCCGCAGAGGATGGCAACTTCTTCCACTTTGGGTGGGCTGTAAGGCTTCAAGTGTGAATCAGTTTGGAAGGACCAACATAGCTTCTTGTTCCTAGTAGCGATGCCAGGAGCTACGTTCGTAGCTTCTTGTTACTAGGCTCATGAGTACGTAAGCACAAACAGACACCGGCATGGCATCACGTGTTTTGGCACCTACGTGTGGCCGTCAGGCTCACTCAGATCAACAAATGGCACACGCGCGTTTTGATGCTTGGCAGCCAATGCAGTTTTACAGGAAACTGGCAACGCTTTTGGAGGGAGAATGTTCACACGCAAGAAAGCATCACGGAGCAGCAGCCAGGTACAGACTTCTGATGGGGAGGTGTTGCCTCTATAGAAACACACCAGAAGATGTTTTTTGGCTCATTGTTGAGACCTCTTCATAGGCCCATTGGCCAACAGTTGTCTCGAATTGCACATGGCACAGGTGTCTGGTTCGAACATCTTCCTTCCACCACAGTCGTGGAGCTGCTTTGGGTCATACGGAAACCGGGAGATGGAGACCCCAAACCCACCGTTCTCGACATTAAGTTCACTTAGTGAGTTCCTGTCCTGACGAAGCCACGTTTTGAAACCGTCCGGTGCGTTCGCCGTCCGAGGATGGCCATGCTGAACCTCACGCAGGGCGATTGGCTTCGCTTCGATCGACAGCAAAAGTGGCACACACGAAGGCCTCGAATCGCACCTTCAGCGTTGGCACACTGTCGACAGGTGAAATCTCAGTGCTTGGAGGCGGTTGGGTTAGGACTTGAGGCTTTGGTTCATTTGATCAACCTGTGCAAAACGTCAATGACCGCATCAAACAGTCCATTCATCCCGGGTTGAGAGTATATTTCTATGTATTTCTCACCTCCAATCGTGTCGTAGCTCCACTTTCTCCAGAAAAAAGAGTATCAGTTGTTCTGTTGTTCTTTACAAACAAAGAAACATATATACAATATATATAATATATTATGTAGTGATTCCTTTAAAGACTAAATCCATTTCACTGGAGGGTGTGGAAATACGAAACTGAGCCGGACATCGGTAGGTGGCCCGAGCTCCTGAAGCAGCCGCACTTGGCCAGCCTCTTCGACAGGCGGACGTGCAGTGGCTTATTGCCGTCAAGTCGATTCACTGTGTTTTGTAAGTGGTGTTTTTGTGGCCTTGCAGCCTCGCAGCCGCAGCAGTGGGAAGTCCAGTTTTGGGCATCAAATTTCACATGTTCACCTGTTGTCAGGCTCCCCGAGATGGTCCTCTTCGCCTTCATTTACCTCTTCTGCCTTTTGGCCAACGACAAGTCCCGTCCAGGACCAGAAGACCTCGAAGCGGCGCCCCGACTCGGCTGAGCTGTAGCTTCGGAGCTGGAGAATTTGACAGCCATGGACAGCCACGCCACACCATGCCCAACGCTTGTCTTGGTCAGTTTCAAGTCAAGACCTCTTTGTTTCTCCAGTTTGTTGGTGTTTTCCATGTCTAGGCCCAGCACACATCCGCAGGAAAATCTAAACCTCTTGACCAGGGACTTTTCCAGATCCTATAGTCATGCTTCTTCATTCACTCCTGATAGGTTGTCGTTGAACGCGGGTAGATCTGCGAGATACCGTATCGGGTGTGGTTCTTGGTCGACCTCTTTGATAGAACCAGTATGCATTGTTTAGCAGAAATCTCCAGCATCACTTCAGGATGGGCGGTTTTACCATGAACGTGCCATGCGTCTTGAAGGTTGAAGGGGCACATAAAAGGGCGCAACATACCAACTCCATGACGAACAACTTAGGCTTCAGACATTGGCAAAACGCCATGATGTTGAGCTTGTCGCCCTTCAACAAACATGTGGTTTGGAAAAAAACGCCTCTTCATCAAGTCCAATTGGGTAATGTAGGAGGCCGTTGGTCAATCCATGCAGGCTTTTTGGCTGCCATGCCATTTCACGACACCTCCTCAGACCGCCTGGTCCGATGATCATATGGTTCTCTCAGACCCCGCTACGACTCCTGCCGACGAGAAGAGTTCTGTCACGTTGATGCCAAGACCACGCGGTTTCGAACGAACTGTCCGATGCCAAGGGCTGTCAAGCCTTCCGGTTCTTCACCATGATGGCGATTCTGCTGATCATCGTCTTCATTGGTCTCTCGATTCTGACCTGACGCAGGACGTGTGAGGACGTACTTGACTTGAAGGAGTACTTGAAGGTCAGTGTCAGACTGTGTCAAGAGTCCCAGCTAGTCTATTTTGTTTCAGGTTTCATGGGCTCTTTTTGTTGGATTGATGGATATTCATGGTGTGCTGCACTCTATTGGATTTGTACAATTCTTGATGTCGTTCACTTCATTCATCGATGCACGTGTTCTTT